CCTTGTATCTATCTATACCTTTAAATGATCATGATCAGGTAATTTTCTGGATGCCAGTGATGAGATTATCTGCATGTATTCAAATAGAAAAGTGTTGGGTGGAGCTGTGCATCCCCTTATTTTGCCCATACAAGTCACCAGAAAAACACCTGCTGTATCACCATGGCTTGTGAAAAAATATTGTATGTACAATCAATTCCAAATAAAAACATCTGGAACATGGTAGCTATACAATATAATGCTCTGAAGAAGAAGAAAAAAAGAGACCACTGCAAATGTTTCTAAAATCTCAATCTCTACATGTATGGCAGCCATTCCATTCCAGTGTCTGTTGAATTCCAACACAGAGAAATGTTGTCAGTAGTTTGTAGAAAAGTGCATTCTACTCAAACATATACCTATAAATATTAAAAACCAGAGAAACTGATAACTGCAGTGGAGTCTTAACTTTTTCCAGAACTGTATATCTTTCAGATCTGTGTGGAGATATTGATGCATCCACATGAAATAGAGTTCTGCAGGAATGATTCCTAAAACCGGAAATTAGTTAGCATTTTAGCAATTCTGGGTTCCCTTGACTTGCAGTCAATGGTTATTTGAATCAGTTTTTTGTTAAATTCATTAAATAAGGTCTGTGTTTAACACAAGCTTATAGAAGGTTCTTGTTTTTCTACGAGTTGTTCTACGAGAAACAATACGTCAGCAAATACCCCACTGGTGTTTTTAAAATGGCTGTTGCTAACAAGTATCTAGAGGAGCCCCTAAAAATCATCGCGCCCAACATTATCCACCTTGTGATGTGATGTCATGCAACTGTGATAGTTTGTTAGTACGATTGAGCTAGCCTACTTCTTGCGATTTGCATTTAGGCTTTAATTCAACTATAAAAAGGTGGTGTAGGTTAGGGCTAGTAAAATGAACTTTGCCACAGATATTTTTTCCGGCAATATTCTAAAATCCAATGAAAAAATCCCAATGCTTTTTGTTAAGGTAAGCCTTGTGATGCTAACTTCCGTGTCAGCCTACAGATACAGATCATCACAGCACCACTATAGCAACTGGTTTTAGAACAAACTCAAACTAGCTCCCTCTTCTGGCCATCCAGCAGTTCATGCAAATGTGACAACAGTTCTCTAACACTCACATTAACTAACACTTTACAAGAAACAACATCTTTTAACACTTACTGTAAAGAAACAAAATGGAGTTGTTTATTTGATTAGCAGTCTGTTACTATCAGTATATCAATAGATTAAAATTCGTGTTGGTGAACACGAAATGCCATGAGACTGGGTTGCCATATGTTAGGCACACATTTAAACATGCACTCACCCAGGCCAATGAAGGAGAAGATCCACTGCGCCACGGCAGCCGTCTGCAGTCTCCTCTGCAGGGGGATTTCCAGGGGGGCAAAATCAACCTTCATGTTGTTCATGAGAGAAGAGAAATAAAAACCGAGGCTGCAGCCGGTGGAGAAGAAGTCGAAGAAGTGAAGTGGGTCCAAAGTCTGTCCTCCTCACCTCTCCACCATCAGCTCATATTGACTGCCTTATCTCACACTCAAAATAGGGTTTGATTTGTCAATCCATATCTGTATCTGACTTTTGACCTGCTGGAAACATGACCGTAAGCATAACTCAGAGGAAGAGAACTGCCACAGCTCAGTGGAAGAGAGAAGAGTTAAAAACAAATTAAACTTTGTTAACTGTCGCTGCTAGCGTGACAGTGTAATGTATTGATCTGAAGGCAGCCCCAGCATGGTTGAGCAATACTGTCCCTGCACCTCATGCTAACAGATAGCCAGAAAGATAAGACCGCTCACATGACCTCATTGTGAATTATTTTAAATGTGTTTTAGTTAGTGTTCTTGTAGATTTGGAAAGCTCCTAAACCAGGTCTATACGTGGTGTGTGCATGACACTGTGGGTGAAAGGTTATGCTTGACCTTTGACTCGAATCCATACTTAGAAATACCCAGATGCAGCTGTTGCAATCTGTTCAGTGCTACTATTCCTATTCATCAGGAAAAAGCTCACAGGAGATGTGGAGGTGTTTATTGGGGCAATAAACAGATGTATGTAAATCCATTACGATTTGCCCTTTGATTGCATCCTAATATGTATTCGCAGATGATCTACCTTAATAACCCCCCAAACACTTGATCTCTGTAGTGTGTGATTCAAACAGTCCAGAACATCATTGGTTCTCATCTACTGAGACGACATGCACCCAGCAGCTCCCCCTGCTGCCCTCTGACCAGAGACACAGACGTGTTCACTGCCACAGCACCGCAGGCTGATAATGAGACAATGGGTCCTTGGAGCAGACATGCAAAAGGCCCCAGCATCTATAAGAACCGGACACACACACTTGAGCTGTGTGAATTATTTGTATTGTTTATCTTCTCAGAACTACTTTGTGTTTGGGCTCTTTGTTCTCGCGCAGTCATATCATGGTCATGTTGTGTCTCTTTGTAGCCATTATGTGTCTCTGCTGAATTTATTTTACCCGATTTGTATTTATTATTTTGTGTGTCTTAGTGTTATATTTGTCCCTTTTGTTGCTTTGTGTCATTTTGTTTTATTTTGATGTTTTGTGTCTTTGTGGGCGTGTCTGTCTTGTTGAATTCTTATTGTTTTTCTTTGCTTATTTTTGTACTTCTTTTTACTAATTCGATGTATTTATCATTTTGGCCATTTGATGTTATGTCTCTTTACTATCATGTTTTTTCTTTTAGTATTCATTTTGTCTCTTCGTGGTCATTTTGTATTTCATTTTTTGTAAATAATTTTGTATTTCTTTGTGTTGTTTTTCTCGTATTTTTGTGTCTTATTTAGTTAATTTGTGGTAATTTAGTTTCATTTTGGAGTCTTTTTGTGTTTATTATGGTCTCCTTCTGCTCACTTTTTCTCTTTGTTGTCATTTTGTTCTCTTTGCGGCTGTTTTTCCCCTTTTCAAGCTGTATTCTAGCAGTTGCTTTGCATCTCTTTGTAGTTGCGCTGTGATTTTTGGTGCTATTTTTGTGTTTCTTCCTGGTTTGGTGCATCATATATGTCCTAGTAGGCCTGTTCAGTAATCCATCTGTACGTCCCACCAGACAGCAGAGCAGCTTCTCTCAGGCTGTAAGTCTGTTCAGATCACCCTCCATGTTTTTCTTCTTGTGTAGCATAAAGAGGATGCACCTCACATATTTTGTGCACAGCTGCAGAATGATAATAAATGAACCTTGTAACCTTATCAGTCAGTGAGTTAATGTTTCACCCGCACCAATGGAACAAATGCATTAAACTTTAAGAAAACATGTGTAAGATTATTATTGTTTCAAAATAATCAGCTGTCAGACTTCATTATGAAGCCCATGTCAGTGGCGTAACTATCGACGGTGCAGCCGGTGCATTGCACCGGGGCCCACAGCCGTCCAGGGGCCCATACAAAAAACAAACAAAATGTATATATATAATCTTTTTTTTAAATTTTTTTTTTTAATATATATTTTATTTTGGGGCCCCAATGACTGGTTCACGCAGTCTTCAAAGTAACCTAGCAACCTCAATTATTTTTTAATTTGTCTGTCCAATGACCTTGCTCCCTTTCATGTCATGTGATACCTTGCGTGACGAGCAAACCGTTTAATCAACATCAAAAGTTATATGTACTACACAGCTATAGCAGCAGCAAGATCGGCAGAATTATAACAAATTGAATAGCTAGCATTTATAATGTACAGCAAACCAAAACACAAGAGCGGCGCTCAAAAGAGAAAGGACAAGAGAGAACAAGGAGATGTAAAGGTGAAACAGACAAAATTAGACAGTTTTTTTTGTCATACATCGTCCTCGAAATCGAACGTGCAGCGGCAGCCGGAGCCGGAGGCTAACGATAGCTCACCTGCCTCACCATCATCTAGCTCCACAAGTGAAGCTGTATCCGTGGCTGTGCGACTTTCTTCTCCAGCCATGAGCCAGGAGGAGAGGATGGATTTGGCTGTGCCCGGCGGTGGTACTACAGTTCCCGCAAGGGCCCCGCCCCCAACCGATAGGGGACTCTATGGCCCTATTGAGACCCCCGACGCCAAGATCAAAGAGAGAGAGAGAGAGAGAGAGAGAGAGAGAGAGAGAGAGAGAGAGAGAGAGAGAGAGAGAGAGAGAGAGAGAGAGAGGGAAAAAAAGCAAGCACCGCTGAGTTGGGGGGGGGGGGGGGGGGGGGGGGGGGGGGCAAACAAATATTTGCACCGGGGCCAATCACAACCTTGTTACGCCACTGACCCATGTGCTTGTCTGTCAGATGTCGTAGAAATGCAGTCTTGCTGCCTGCAAGCAATGTCTTTGTCACAAAGGCAATTTTGCATGAGTCAGTAGATAACATTTAACATGTGGCCCTTTTTATGGCTTTTATTGTCTTTATACACATGATGGAAATATGAGTACTATACTTTATACTTCCATGTATACTTAAAAAATAAATGGCAAAGTTTTCCTTATTACTACAGATTCATCTAATGTGTATTTGTTCTTGGTGTTATTTTATATTTCCTCCTGAGCTATACATTTATTTATTTTCATGATATTTATTTATCAGGCAGATATATTCTCCTCTTGACCACTGATTTTCCAATTCTAGTTTTATCTAATGTTATACATATCCACACGTTCAGAGAAACAGTAGAAAAGTGATGGCGAAACGATACGCAGTGAGCGAAGAAAAAAACACCTAATTTACGTCAAGCTCACCATGTTTAGCAGCGTTATAGCAGAAATTAATGGTCCAATTTCAAAATAAAAGCACGCGTCAATGCCTTCAGATATGCGACGTGAAGAGAATGTGCATAGAATATAATGACATATATAGCCAATATATATTATAATGCTATCTTGTTGTGTGCTATTTATAATAAGATCATTTAAAAAGAGCGTTATTAAAGCATTTACAATGGGGGTTAAACCGGAAGTTCTTTGTTATTCTCGCTGATGGACTCATTTTCCTCGGCGGATCCTCCTGTGTCTGTGGATGCTGAGGAGGAGGGCGGGGCTGTTTTCCGTTGCAGTCCTGCAGGGAGTGATGTAGCAGACAGAGAGGGACCGACAGCAGCGGAGAACACGGCAGTAGGCAACGGTTGTTTTTGTAGCAAAATAAATCTGTCTATTTTAGATGCAAAATGGATTTACTGATTAACCTCATCTGACGTCAAAAGGTGTCGGTGGCCTCCTTGCAGCCTGACGCAGGGACATCTCGTTTCTCTCAGCTCAGGAGACATATTTTTCTTCTGTTTGGCCCCCGCACAGTGCATTGTAGTGGAGCTCCGTACAGCCCACCATGGCGTGGCCCTGTATCAGCAGGGCGTGCTGCATGGCCCGCTTCTGGAACCAGCTGGATAAGGCTGATATTGCGGTGCCTCTGGTGTTCACCAAGTACACGGACGCATCGGAGCTGCAGCACATCCAGCTGCAGCCGCCACTGCACGCGCACCAGGCCCGGGTCACCATAGATACGCAGCCATCTCGCACAACTCCTCGCACCAAGCCAGCCGCGCGCCCCCCGCGGAGGTGCGTGTCCGAGGAGCGCGTGTGCAGCTCGGTAATGCGCGAGGACTTTAAGCACTGGAACGTGCGACCCGAACCGAGCTGTAAACCCAAGAACGAGTACCACGAGCCGGAAACACCGTTCAACAGCGTGACCCAGTACCAGAAGGACTACAAACCCTGGCCTATCCCCAAAAAGTCCGACCACCCCTGGATACCTAAGCCCGCCGCCGGGGAGCGCGCTCCGGACAGGCCCCGGCACTCCAAACACCAGGTGGAGGCGGACAGCGGGGTGGAGAAGAGCGCTATCGCCGACCAGGTGCAGGAGAAGGACTCTTGGTCTCTGCTGGAGACCAAGAAGAAGGTCAGCAAACCGGAGGTGCAGAAGAAACCGGAGGGGCAGAAGAAACCGGAGGGGCAGAAGAAACCCGAGGGGCAGAAGAAACCCGAGGGGCAGAAGACTGTGGTCCTGAAGGGGGATGGGGAGGGCCGGGGGAGGCCGGCGGATGCTGTGAACAGGCAGATCCGAGAGGAGATCACCGGGGACAGCTCCTACACGTGAGTCACCCTGTCAGTCTGTCCAGGGTCACAGGGTCAATATGTGTTATACTGTATACATCCAGAGGTGGAAGAGATACTTAGCAAAACTAAATATAAAAAAACTCCAAGTAAAAGTCCTGTAATCAAAATCTTACTTATGCTGCGTTCACACCGGAGCGAATTCGCGTCTGTCCGCATCTCTGCATTGACTTTACATGTAATCGAGCCGCCCCCAAACATCGCATCGCGTCCGATGTGAGCGCAGCATTAGGTGAAAGTACAAAAGTATTGGCATCTAAATATAAGTACCTAAAAGTAAAAGTACTATACGAATGACACCATTTCGGAATCATATATTATATATAATAACTGGATTATGATTATTGATGCATTGTTGTGTCTAACACAACCTGTAAAGGTGTGGTAATAATTTAAATGGCTTAGTATGTTGCTGCTTGATGCCTTATATTATAATATAGCCTATAATTCATATTGTATTCATATTTTGTAATAGCTAATAATCTGTAAAGTGACTAAAGCTGTCAGTCAGATAATGTAGTGGAGTAAAAAGTAGGCTACAATATTGGCTTCCAACATGTGGAGAAGTATAAAGTAGGGAAAAATAGAAATACTGTAAATAATTACAAGTACTTAAAATAATACTTAAGTATCACACTCGAATGCCATTACTCTCCACTGGTGTATACATACTTTTCACTTGTTCTCTAATCATCCAAACAGGTCGTTATCATTTTGCATGATATAAATGCCTCTCTCAATCCTTCTGCTGTCAAGTGAGAATGTTCACAAAACATTATTACAAAAATAGAAGAGAAACCCACTTTAGTACTAGTAATATTTTATGTGGACCCACTGCAGTAAGACAAACACTGCAACACCCTCCACAATTTTTAAATTCATTAACACTTTGAAATGTATAATTGATAATGTTAATGAACTGCTGCAACACCTTTCCATGACGCCCTTATATATGACGCATTTGAAACACACTTGCAGTGCATTAAAAAAGTAAAGCACTCTTTAATTATGGTTACACGTCTCAGAAAAAATTATTTAGCAATAATTATTAATCGTAAAGTATATCATTACTTAAGGTAATGCATGAATCATACTATAATTCCCATAGTTACATTATAATATATTCTGATTATAAGTAACTGAAGTTATACAATTCCTTGGAAATTGGCAGATATAATGCACTATGGTTATACAGTAAGTCCCTCAAAGTGCAGATTGTTTGCCTGAAACAAAGCAAACATTCCCCAAAGATCTATGATTTTAGTGCATGACCCAATTTACCTGAATCATTTTCAGACTGTCCCTTAATTTGGGTGTACTCATTTATCACTTAATCTTAGGAAAACAGTTGTTACAAACACATTGAAAGCTTCCTCTTGAAACCTGCACACAGGAAGTGACAGATCATTACCGGCATAGACTGTATGATCAGAAGGTAATTCAATGAAATGGAGAGGTCAGGGTGGATTCATGTTCAGGTCCTCGAGGTTCATCTCTGTGCTGTCATGCAATGTTCAGAGGATGATGGCGGCTGGTGGATGGATGAAGATCCAGTCATGCATGTCACTGTCACTGAACGCATGTTTCCTGAGGCTGTGATTGGTTGCATTATTGTTCAGGGAAGCCTGTTGGTTTGTGTGAGATGATGATACTGTCTGTGATCCATGTCACACTTAACACTGGTTTGTTTTTTAATATTTTTTGCTGTGATCTAGATTCAGTGCATTGCAAGGGGTTTCAGAGCACTGCATGTTTATTTGTCTTTCCACAACTGAGTCCTAATCTCACTATTTACATTTCTCTCTACATACATAAACACACAATACTACTATTGTGTCACAGAGAGACAATTTAGGTTGAGACAGAAACCTTAGCGAGCTGTTTGGTGCTGATGCTGTCGTGCCTGTATTGTTGAGCAGGCAGCAGGGTATAGCCAAAGGCTACCCCCCCCACACACACACACACACACCACACACACACACACAGACATGGCATGAAATAGCTGCACCATGACAAGCAGAAGCCAGTCAGCTCGCCGGCTTACTGCCAGCCGACACTGAAAACCGGTCAGCTGTGGGTTAATATTGTGTATATATATATAGTATACACACACACACACACTGAAAAAAAAGGCTGTTGGATTAACATGATTTTAATATGGAAACCGGTTGCACACATAATGGAATAGTTTTGAGTACACATGTTTTTAACATGTGTACTCAAAACTATTCCATTATGTTAGAGACACACAACTATGTTATGTCAAAGAAACATGAAATTGTTATGTTAATGTGAATATTTCCTTTAATATAGGTATATTCATTTACCCTATGTTTAACCAACATGACTTTTAATGTTCATTTTAGGCCTTTAATATACTCAGTATATTTCATTTGTACCTGTTAAAGCCACATTAATGTTTTGTTTAAACTACATAGTGCTCAAGGGGTACATAAGATTATTTATTTCATGTGAATAGAGGCATGTCGTACATTCTTCTACAGGATCCATCCTAATCTCTTATGTCTACAGCATTTATCATAACATTTTAAAACAAATAGTCAATAAAGACAAACACATTTCTTTGAACAACATTCATGTATTTTTCTCAAAAAATAAAACAATATTAACAACCACCACACATCCAGATGAGCTTTTGGTTCCTCCATCATGCAGCCTAAACTATGCCAGGAGAATTAACAAATACATTGAAAATAAAGAAATAGAAAATGTTTGTGATGCATGTACATATACATTATTGTGTTAGAACACAGCAAAGAAGCTTAAAGGAAACTATTCTCCCGACCAAAATAAAGGTTTATTGTGCCAAATGGCAAAGAAAGGCTTATTTGTGTAACTCATTCATAGTAAACAATTAACAGAAAATGTCAACGCCTAGCCGAAAAAAGGAAATGTTCTTGCAAATCCATTATTTAAATAGTAACCTGCTAATATGAAAGGGCACATTCATACAAAAAAGCAATGGCATTGCTTTGGAAAAATACATGGAAGTATAATAATGGCCTGGTTTCTCACCACATATGCACTAAAGAAAGTATTACAAATAAAAACAAGAACTGACATTTTGAAGTTAGTACATTAGTACAATTAGTGCAATTGGTACATTCTGAAAACACATGACCCCAGGAAAAAAACACATTTCTGAAACATGCAAATTAAGCAAAAAGCATGAGCAAAGGAAGTGCAAGACAGTTGTATCGATGAAAGTCCAGTATGAATGCTGTAAAAGTGCACAATGGTCCATGGCAACAGCTCACTCAAATAGTTTGTTTTTAAACGCTTGGGCTTTCTTGGAGAGCATGTTGCCGTCTAGCTCCATTAACATTTGCTGGAGCACTTCGAACGTGCACTTCAGTCTAGGGGGGTCGTTCAGGTTCATTGCATACATTAGTCCAAACAGCATGGTAGCAGCTAATGCAATGTTGTCCACATCAGTTAGTACCTGTTGGCCTTCCAGGACAATCTGTCCTCTGGTCTCATCTGGTCTCATCTGTCCTCTGGTCTCATCTGGTCTCATCTGTCCTCTGGTCTCATCTGTCCTCTGGTCTCATCTGTCCTCTGGTCTCATCTGTCCTCTGGTCTCATGGTGGAATTGTGTTTGACAACATAAAGGCCCACTGTAATCCCCTGAATGGACCGCAGCATGACGTCTTCATCTTCTGCCTGCAGAGTGCACAGTCACAAAAGGAACAGAGTGAGATCTAACAAATCAATACATATATATACCCATTACTAAGTCCCTGTGTTTAACAAGTACATTTGGTCAGATTTCAGTACTTTTAAGCCTCCTTATTATCTGATATACTCCTGTCTGACCTAATAAAAAACGTTTCATTTCCTGTATCCGTTTTAAATGAAAAGCCCTCAAGCTTTTCAGTGTAGTTTGGCTATTAAACAAAAAACAGGAATGTTCACATACTTTTGGCTATATACTATGTGGTGTTTCAATAAATACATATTTTAACGCCCAACAAAAAAATCAAAAGGTCAAATATTACTTCTACTGACCACAAACTCTCTCATTGAGGTACACACACAGAGGTACACACACAGAGGTGCACACACAGAGGTACACACACAGAGGTGCACACACAGAGGTACACACACAGAGGTGCACACACAGAGGTACACACACAGAGGTGCACACACAGAGGTGCACACACAGAGTTGCACACACAGAGGTGCGCACACACAGAGGTACACACACACAGAGGTACACACACAGAGGTGCACACACAGAGGTGCACACACAGAGGTACACACACAGAGGTACACACAGAGAGGTACACACACAGAGGTACACACACACACAGATGTACACACAGAGGTACACACACAGAGGTGCACACACAGAGGTGCACACACAGAGGTACACACACAGAGGTACACACACAGAGGTACACACACAGAGGTACACACACAGAGGTGCACACACAGAGGTACACACACAGAGGTGCACACACAGAGGTACACACACAGGTACACACAGAGGTGCACACACAGAGGTACACACACAGAGGTGCACACACAGAGGTGCACACACAGAGGTATACACACAGAGGTGCACACACAGAGGTACACACACAGAGGTGCACACACAGAGGTACACACACAGAGGTGCACACACAGAGGTACACACACAGAGGTACACATACAGCCCCTTGAGAAGACAATCCCACCCTGAATCGACATCATCAACCTAAGTGAAGGGGAATAAGAAAATAAAGAATCTATTTTGCTCAATGAAATGTGTACACTATTGACTCGATGTATAATTTCCTTAAAATGAATTCTTACTTGAGTCATGTTTGACATAATACAGTTCAGACGCTGGCCTATCTGTCCTCCTCTCTTCTCAAAAACCTTCAGAAGTGTGTCAGATAGCACATCCAGCTGAGAGAGAACTCTTGATTGGAGGGGCAGGGTTGTTATGCGCTTAAACTCTGCATTTATCAAAGAAAACAAAATATCACAGTCATAAATATCATGAAATCATTTCATTTTCTAATGATGTTATGATTGTAGTTGTGTGCTTGCCTCAAAACGATGCAGAGAAACTAGTCCATGCATTTGTTACTTCAAGGCTAGCTTATTGTAACTCTTTATTATCAGGGTGTACCAAAGGGTCAGTGAAGTTGCTTCAGCTGATTCAAAATGTATTGACCAGAGCACGGAAAAGCGACCACATTACTCCTGTTTTGGCTCCATAGTGAGAATAACTTTTTATATCAAGTAGGAACAACCAGGTTAGACTACATTACATTTCATTTAGTTTACGTTTTTGTCCAAAGCGACTTAAAATAAGTATTACTGTAATGTAAGACTACATATAAGAAACACCCTTATAGCCATTTCAACACTTTTGCCTAATAAATCAGAAAATGTGTATATCCCTGCAATGTTTGCAGTATGTAAATGTTATGAATAAATATTCAGAAATTGTCAGACTAATACCAGTTTTCAATTAGTTAAAGATCAAGTTTAAGTTAGTCAAGTAAATCACACAAAATATTTGAATACTCACCATGTACTACAGAGCCTTTGGAACAATGTTCAAAGCAAGGCTGAGGTCAATCTTCTCCACACCAATTACCTACCACAGAAAAACACATTTGAAATTATTTCATTATTCACACACAAATAAAACAAAAATGTTCTGCTCCTTAAAGGCGACATTTACCATTTAATTATGTACCTTTAGGTTTATATGAACCGACTTCGGCCGAGATGGGCGCCTCCAGTGTAAAAAGCTACAGTAGCCTATACTAATGCAATGAGTACAACTTTGTACGGAGCCATACACATCATCGTTGCGAGCTCATTCCCATTGGTTTCAATGGAGACGTGCACTGCAGCAGCGCGCAACCCTCGTCATGTGACGAGGAACAACCAATCACAACCGAGAAACATCTCAACTTAAACACAAGTGTACGGCAAATATGGAAGATAAGTTCATTTCACAGCGGGTGGATCGTCACCCTTGTAGATCATTCTCATATGATTAAGTTTGTCCTTTGCAGGCCACCGTAGCTGGTGCGCCACACGGTGACGTGTTAAGGTAATAGGCAATGGCATTCAGTTGTTAGTCGGCATGCAACGTACATGTTCACTGTACATGCTGTGGTCATAAATAAAGCCACCACTTGCCTATGCATTGTGTATTCCTTGTACATACACACATGCATGTATTAAGAAGTATTGACAACTTCTACATGGTGTCAGAAGACGGCACGAGCCTCTCCTCTCGTCTGGAGAATTGTTTTTCCACGGACCGTGCTAACGCTAACTAGCTGGCTGAAGCTAGCCCCAGCTACAATGGCGGATGGATTTCGCCGTCCGGACCCTGTTACGTTTGAAGGAAACGTCGCGGAGAGCTGGCGGATCTTCGAGAGGGAATATGAAATATTCATCGCCGCAGCGCACCCAGACAAGGCTGCCAGGACTAGGGCTTACATCCTCCTCAATCTCGCTGGACCTGAAGCCATTGAACGTGAACGATCCTTTATGTATGCAGCTGAAGTGCGCGCGCCAGGCCCCGACGGTGCGGTGATCTCCCCAGCTGAATCAAGGGAGGACCCGGACTGTTTGATACGGAAATTCAGTAAAATATGCAACCCTCAACATAACAAAATAATGGAAAGGCACAAGTTTCATTCAAGAAATCAGAAGCAAGGTGAGAGCATTGAGTCATTCATCAGCGATCTGAAGATAAAAGCTAAAAGTTGCCATTTTGGAGATTTAGCTGAGGAACTAATCTGTGACAGAATAGTATGTGGCATAATCAATGATTCTTTAAGAAAAACTCTGTTGAGAGACAGTGAACTGACACTTGCTAAAGCTGTTTCAGTCTGCCGTATACACGAAATGACAGAGGAAAGCAGCAGGACGTTAGCCGTTCAAGCTACCAGTGTTGATGCAGTGAGACCTGTTTCTAGCAGAAGGTATCAGCCAAAGCCACAGTCACTCGCTCACTCCCAGAGCATCTCTAACTGTAATAATTACGGAGGCAGCAATGCGAGAAAAGTGTCCAGCTTTCGGGCAAAAGTGCCATAACTGTGAAAAAGTGAATCACTACAAAAAATGCTGCAAGTCTAAACCACGCAGCTACAGTCATTCAAATAGAAATAATTGTAACCAGTCTGTACATGAAGTAACAGTGGAAGAGCCCACAACACACAGAGAAGACACGTTTTATGTGGATGGCGTAGATATCGAAAGACATGTTGATAGTGTTAATCCTAAAGCTAAAGACAAAGAAGAAGGATTTGTTACAATTCACATTAATGGCACACCAACTGAAATGAAAGTTGACACAGGAGCTAAATGCAATGTGTTGTCTCAAGAAACGTTCACACAAGTGACCAATGGCGAGCAACTTGTGAAGCAAGAGACTGCTATAAACCTTGTTGCTTATGGAGGAAGCAGGATTGAGACCAAAGGCCTGGTCACACTGCCTTGTTGCTTAAAGGAGCAGCACCATTCGTTGCCTTTCTTCATAGTGAACAAAGATGTGCAGCCACTACTGGGATTTCGGGCATGCGTGGACATGGGAATTGTCACATTGAGCAAAGATGTCCACCAGATCACTACGGAAAGCAACACGGATTTCACCACACAGACACTCATGCAGTACAAAGACCTGTTTGATGATGAACTTGGAGAACTACCAATCACTTACTCCATGACAGTTGATCCTAGTGTACAACCTGTGGTGAGACCTGCCCACCGCATTCCTATTGCAATGCAAGACAGAGTTAAAGCTGAACTTAACCGCATGCAAAACATAGGTGTCATTATACCAGTTACTGAGCCCACAGACTGGGTCTCATCTATGGTGGCAGCACACAAAAAAGACAAGCAGGAAATAAGACTGTATCAATTAGGGCTGTAGCGATACACTAATCTCATGATACGATACACGATATTCAGCTCACAATACGATATATATATATATCACGATATTCAGCCAAAGATACGATTCGATATAATTCGATACACTTACATCATTTTCTGAAAGATTTTAAAGGGACAGTGTGATTTTGGTGACATCTTGAGTGTTCCATTGACTTGGATTGAATTAATTCAACTGAAAACTGAAAGCATCAATTATACAATATATGGCTCTGACAGAGAGTCTACAGCTTGCACATGCTGGACAAAATGAATCAAAAGATGTGGTGAGAAAATTAGTTTCATTTATTGAAACAGTGCAAACTGTAGCTTACACGCCTTTGAAACGCAAGTACATAAAGTGCAGTATCACAATGGAGAATTAAAAGGTGCAGCAGGTGGCCTGTTCTGAACAGATTCTTTTACAGCATTTTTAGCTTACCAGCACGGTTTGTTTTGGGTCACGCCGTGGCCGCAGCTTCTTGAGTTAGCATTACCTTGTCCGGGTGGTGACGTTGTAGATGGGTTCGTAGGTTAGTGGTATTTCCAGAGTATTTCACGTTTGTGTGACACAGCTTGCAAACCGCCATAGTTTGATCTAAATTGTCGTTTTCCTTCTTTTTAAAGCCGAAGTGCTCCCACACATCTGCTTTTAAGCACGAAGGTGCTGGGTTAATGGTTGCCGCCATTCTCCTGAACCGCTTCGCACTCACTGCGAGAAGAAGACACCAGCGTCTGTGTATCTAGAAATGCTCTACAGCGACACTAGCGGCTCGGCTGGCTGACGTAATCGCTCTTCATGCAAAGCGAACAGGGGGGAATGGGCAGCGAGCAGAGTGCCAGGCGGAAGACGGGGGATTTGAATGGGACTTAATGTATCGATACCCGCGGCTGAAATATCGATACTTTCTCGGGAAACAAAATATCGATATATATCACAGAATCGATTAAATTACACAGCCCTAGTATCAATCGACAAGACCTCAACACAGCGCTGAAAAGACCACATCACCCTATGAGAACAGTAGAAGAAGTTGCAGCACAGATGTCAGGAGCAAAAGTGTTTTCTGTGCTAGATGCTAAAAGCTCTTTCTGGCAGATACGTCTCGACAAGAAATCCTCCATGTTGACAACCTTCAGTACTCCATTTGGGCGGTACAGATTCCTCTGCTAGTGAGGTATTCCAACGCTCGATGGAACAGCTGTTTGCAGGTTACCCATGTTCTGTCATCGTTGACGACATCATCATTGGTGGCCGCGGAGTTGCTGAGCATGATGCCAACCTCAAGAAGGTGCTGGAACGAGTGAGAGAAGTCAACCTGAAGCTGAATCCAGCCAAGTGCAAGTTTCGCCTGGATCATGTAGGATATGTAGGTCACATTTTCACAAGTGAAGGCCTAAAGGCAGACCCTTCTAAGACAGATGCAATCACTAACATGCCAGTCCCCACAGACGTTGTCTCACTACAGCGTTTCCTCGGTATGGTTAACTACCTCGGCAAGTTCATCCCGAACTTCAGCGACATCGCAGCACCACTGAGAAAACTCATCCACAAGGACACTGCATGGTGTTGGTTCCAGCAGCATCAGGATGCATTTGACCTTCTTAGATCATGCTTATCAAGTCCACCTGTTCTGTCATACTATGATGTCAAAAGACCAGTCACGCTCACCTGTGATGCGTCATGCTACGGACTTGGAGCAGCGTGCATGCAAGATGGCAGGCCAGTAGCGTTTGCATCACACACCCTCACTGACACAGAGACGAGGTATGCACACATTGAAAAAGAACTGCTAGCTGTCGTGTTTGCCTGTACAAAATTCAAAGACTATGTGTATGGAAAGCCTGTAGTGGTGGAGACTGACCACCAACCTTTAGTGACTATCTTAAAGAAGCCCATCCACACAGCCCCTGCCCATCTGCAGAGAATGTTGCTCCAGCTGCAGAGCTACGACATCAGTTTGGTGTACAAAAAGGGCAAGTATATGTATGTAGCAGACACTCTTTCACGTGCCCCAACCGCACAAACATCTCAAAGCCCTGCTGAAAATGATGCTTATGAAGTCATGTCTGTGAGCTACATCTCCACAGCCCGCCTGGAAGAACTCAGAAAGCACACAGCAGAGGACGAAGATCTGCAAGCCCTCAGTGCAGTCATTAATAGAGGATGGCCCATCCGACAGAATCAGCTCCAACCTGCTGTCCGTCTCTTCTTTCCCTACAGAGATGAAATGACAGTAGAAGAGGGAATTGTCATGAAAGGCCACAAAACTGTCATTCCTCAGTCCCTGCACAGAGAGTACATCAAAATAGTGCACAGAGGACACCCCGGCATTGAAGCAACCAAACGCAGAGCAAGAAGCATCATCTTTTGTCCAGAAATGTCTAGAGACATCACTGAGGAGTTGCTTTCATGTGCAGTGTGCAACAGCACCAGATCCCATCAGCAAAAGGAGCCCCTCCAGCTTCATCCTGTGCCAGATCTCCCATGGTCCGCAGTGGCAACAGACGCCTTCGAGTGGCATGGAAAACGGTATCAGGTGCTGGTTGACTCATACTCTGGCTGGTTTGAGATCGACCTTCTCCGGGATGTGACCTCATCAACTGTGATAACTAAATTGAAGAGACATTTCTCTGTTTTCGGCACACCCACACACACTCATCTCTGATAATGCTGGACAGTAAGTAAGTCAGCATTTCAAGGACTTTGCAAAACAGTGGGACTTTGTTCACATCACCAGCAGTCCTGAATACCCACAGTCAAACGGACTAGCAGAGAGAGCAGTCCGCAGTGCAAAACAGTTGATGGAACGTTCACACAGAGATGGCACAGATGTCTTCCTCAACCTGGTAAATCGCAAACATTCCCCGTGATCTGACGTTAGGCTCTCCTGCTGAACGCCTGATGTCGCGACAAACACGTGCAGCCATCCCTGTGAGACCAAACTGTTACAGCCTAACCCAAAAGATGCACAACTAATCAGAACACAACTCTTCAACAAGCGGCTCATCTTAAAGCGCCACTATGACACTATGACTCAAGTTCTCCTCTGAAACCCCTGGCAGAGGGACAAGTGATCAGGATGCAGACCCCAAAAGGATACGATCGGCTTGGCGTTGTCAAGGAAGGAAGTGAGTGAGAAACCACGCACTTACATAATCCAAGCCAACGGGACTTCATACAGACGGAATCGTCGACATGCAACGTACATGTTCACTGTACATGCTGTGGTCATAAATAAAGCCACCACTTGCCTATGCATTATGTATTCCTTGTACATACACACGTATTGACAACTTCGACAACCCTTACTTGATCTGTCCGGCATGTCCCCATATTCATGGTATGTGCACCGCTGCTAACATGTAACACAATCATTAATATCCTCCTCTTTCCGGTATCAAGTGTCGCTTTCCAGGACACACCCCCACACACAATATTGTGTCTCTGTTTTGATCTGTGTGTATTTACGGTATTTACATGAACATAGAGCGGATCAAAGCAGAGACATAAACACAGTTTTTTAGGGAAAACACTGCGGTCCCACAGACAATATTGTATCTTTAACAGTCAACACCTTAAATGGGTAAAGATGGTCGCTTAACGTAAGGTAGGCCTACAACCTGCATCAGCGCCCCTAAAAGTCGGCACAAGAGTAGCC